TTTCACCTACAAGGTGTTTACAGTAACTGTATGTTTGATTTGGTTTCATTATTTAACTGATGTTATCATTCAGTGTTATACTTATATTGATATGCATTGTCAGCTTATCGTCCAGTTGTATTTTTACCTGTACTATATAATTGCTAGTATACAACAACGCGTGTTTTTACCTGTAAGAGCTTTGTTAGGTTTCTCAGCTACGCAGAGGTCCTTACCAGTAGAAAGTACTTATGTATTGTCAGCTTTACGTATTAATACAGCATTTTCATTTTATATATCAATATATATTTACCAATACTGCCTAACGTCCACTACTTTGATTTTAATTGCTTGCGAATCCTACCAATGTTGTCACATTACATTCGCATTTGTTCTTCATAATTATTATTATTATTGTTATTATCATATTGTTGTTAAGCTGACTTTTCACAGGCATACGCTCAGCCAATCCTTTTGGGGCGCGTGTATCGAGAGTCGCACTCGTGCACTCGGATAACTTACCTGTGTTGCGGTTCATTGATCACGCTTATACAGTTGTCTGCTGTGTTTTGAATGTGTTTACTTTTATACTCACCTTCCTCTCCTGGCTGCAGACCGATCGTGCGCGAGTGTGCTTTTACTTACCTGTTAACTTTCTCTCCTTCCACTTAACTTTTTCTTCTGCTTGTATCTTGTATAGATTATACATACCAAAAATAAATTATAATGATGGAGAATAATACAACAATCAATATAATTACATGGAATTGTAACGGGTTTTTATCCAAGTCTAAGCAATATGAGCTGAATGATTTTGTACATAATCATAATGTACATGTTGTATTGTTACAAGAAACTCATGTTTCTAACTTGTTTGTCGGTAAAAAGATTGAAAGTTTTTTGAAATGTAAAGCAATATGGAATTTCGGTTCATATAATAGTAAGGGCACAGCTGTTTTGTTTTTCATAGATGTAAAACTACAAAAGTTTGATCTTGATAGAGAAGGACGGACCATGTTTGTTGATTTTAAATATTATGATAGCGAGTTCAGAATTATTAATGTATACGCCCCAAATGTTGATGAGGAGCGTCGGGCATTTTTTGATAATATTATATATCATTTTACCTGTAGAAGGCCCATCATTTTTGCTGGTGATTTTAATTGTATTGAAAACAATTCCCTTGATAAGATTGGTGGTAATCCCAGTCGTGGTCTTCCTGGTAGTGTTTCAATAAAAAATCTGTGTAATGATTTTAAGTTATTTGAGACATTTAGATCACTTTTTCCGAATGTCATTTCTACTACTTGGCATGGTAATGGTGTTTCATGCCGCTTAGATCGATTTTATATTTCATGTATATTGAAAGAGCATTTATTACAGAATAGGATTTTTCCGTCTGGTAGTTCCGACCATGATTTTGTTTTTCTAAAAATTAAACTATTTTCTGAGGATAAGTTTGGACCCTTTTACTGGAAACTTAATAATAGTATTTTGAGCGATAGAGCCTTTCAGATTGCTTTTAAAGATTTCTGGCTTGATCTAACTGACAATAAGCCTGTGTCTTTAGATCATTGGGATAATTGTAAATCTGTTATCAAATATTTCATTATTGGATATTGTAAACGTAAAGCTAAAGTTAAACGTTCTGTTGTCAGATCTTTACAAAAAAATATAATAAGTTGTATAATTTAGAAAGAAAGTCGCCTGGACACTTTATTGATCAAGCTCAGTCTATTAAGAGACAACTACTTGATTTTCATACTGATAGTTTCAGAGGGTCTACGATTAGGTCTAGAGCTAATTTTTTTTAGACTTTTCTGAAAAGCCTTCACGTTATTTCTTTAAAATGGAGTGTGATAAGGGTAAGAAGAAATTCATAGAGAAAATCGACTTACCTGATTCTTCCTGTGTTACTAATTCCAGTGACATTTTAGCGGCCTTTCGAGATTTTTATACCAAACTTTTTTCCGAGGAAGATATCGATTTTGAGTTGGCTGACTCTTTTTGTGATAACCTTCCCAAACTTAACGAACTTGAAATGTCAATGTGTGAAGGCCCTATAGGGAAGGAGGAAATATTAGCTGCTATCAAGCATATGAAGAACAATAAGTCCCCTGGTAGTGATGGTCTCACTAAAGAATTCTATCTTACTTTTTTTGATTTATTAGGAGATCATCTTGTCACATTATACAATGACATTTTTCAGAAGGGTGAGCTATGTGACACCCAGAAAACGTCTTTTATTTCGTTATTATGTAAAGATCCAAGTAATTCTATAGTATGAAAAACTGGAGGCCCATTTCTCTCCTGAATATTGATTATAAAATTCTTTCCAAGGTTATTACCAACAGGTTAAGTAAGGTTATTGATAAACTTGTTGGGGTTGACCAAACTTGCGCGATAAAAGATAGATCTATTTTTGAAAACTGTCATCTTCTTCGTAATATTGTTGATTACGTTAATCAAAAAGACTTGAAGTGTGCTTTTATATCTCTTGACCAAGAGAAAGCTTTTGATAGAGTAAATTATACATTTTTATTTAAGGTACTTGAAGCTTACAATTTCGGTCCTGATTTTGCTAAATGGGTAAGTATCTTATACAAAAATGTCTGTTCGTCCGTTATTGTTAACGGGTTTATATCTGACCCCTTTCCTATCACTCGTGGTGTACGGCAAGGCTGTAGTTTATCTCCTCTTTTATATGTTTTGGTCTTGGAGCCCTTTGCGAAAAAAGTCCGTGACGATCCTGAAATAACTGGTGTAAAACTTCCGGGTTCCTCTCAGTCAGCTAAAATTTCCCTCTATGCAGATGATAGTACTGGTATTTGCTGTTCCGATTCCTCTATTTCAAAATTATTTCATTGGTGTAATCTGTATGGCAAAGCGTCAGGTGCTAAATTGAATAAACAGAAAACTAAGGGTATTTGGCTTGGGAAATGGAAATCACGTTCAGATAACCCTTTCGGCATTAGTTGGGTTGAAAAACATAAGATTTGTGGGGTTTTAATTGGCAATAACATTACTCCTGACGATATTTGGCAGCCAGTTTTTCGGAAATTTTCAAGGACCTTGGATTTATGGAAAATGCGAAATTTATCTTTAACACAAAAGTCCATAGTTATAAAGGTCCTTGCTTGCAGCAAACTTTGGTATATTGGTACTACCGTCATAATGCCAAGGCATTATTTAGATCTTTTACAGAGAACTTTGTTTAGATTTTTATGGAATTCCAAGTCGGAGCCACTTGCGCGCTCCGTAGCCTATGCCTCTACTACTAGTGGTGGACTTGGTATTGTTAACATTAAAAGTAAATTTCAAGCCATTTATCTAAAACATTGTCAGGATTTTGTTTTCAAACATACCGAGGCCAAGTGGAGGTATTTTACCAAGTACTGGCTCTCATTACATTTTCGAGAATATTTTTCACCTGTTGACAATAGTATTCCACATAGTGAGTGGTGTCCTACATTTTATTCTTATATTTATGGAATTTTTCAGAAATATAGAAAAGACTTTCCCAAGTCTAATTTTGAGTCTGGGACAACCAAAGAGTTGTACGTTACGTTATTAGCTGGTATTACTAAGCCACCAAGAGTTGTGAAGATTTTTCCAACTGTTGATTTTAAAATTGTTTTTCGCAATATTTCAAACAAGTTTTTAGATACTCGCTCACGTGATGTCGTCTTTAAGATAGTACACGAGATTTTACCTGTGAATTTTCGAATGTATAAATATGGTGTTGAATCCTGTAAATTTTGTACTTTTTGTACTGGTTTTGAAACAATTTCACATTTATTCTTTGAGTGTTCATTTATTCAGCCGTTAGTATCCTTGGTAAATTCTTGGATACACCAGATCTCAGAGAACAAGATCCCAACTGATTCGGCACTTTGGCATTTTCATTCACCAGTATGTCTCACTCTAAAAGTAAAGTCTCTTGTCCTTTTTCTAGTGGCAGAATCCCTATCGTCCATTTGGCATATACGTTGTGTTAAAAAATATGACAAAAAGTCTCCTTCTTCTGATTCTCTCGTCTGTCACTTTCTCAGCAATGTTATTCTTCGCATTAAGTCTGATTTTACTCGCTTTTCCAGAAACACTTTCTCTGAGTATTGGTGTACTACTGATATTTTCTGTACCTTGCGGGATGACGACCTAAACATCAATCTCCCGTTATAATCAAGAAACCTGCTGTGAAATATGTCAATTAATACCGATAATTGTCATTATTCTTAACATATTAATTATGTTAACTATCGTGTAACCAGGTAACTTCGTTTACATATCTTGTCCATCTTAGGATGTAAGGATAATGGCACTTTACCGGGGCTACCGGTTGTACATCAGTCGCTGGCGTCATTGGGGTCTGTCTCGTGACGTTTTTACCTGTATATATGTTAATAAACTTTTTATGAAACTTAAAAAAAGAGGTTCCCCCAGGTCGAGGCCCTTCCATTGCACTCCGGTCGGGCTGAACCCTGCGATAATCCCAAATGCGGATTACTCGGGTACGCTATTTTTTAGTGTGGGGGTCTGCGTTCGCGCTAACCCTCGACCATAAACAATTTGAAAAATAAGAACACCAACCTTGCAAGCAGTATATCGATATCTCGACTTCTCTTTTGTTTTATCAGTTAAACCTCTAATAAAAATACCCTTTGTGACAAAATATCTTGTGTGAGGCATTCTACTGAGACATATGCTTCATAATTCAATTAGTTTACTTCAGTCCCCATACCTACCTGCATGAGTCAAACCTTAGGCAATTCCCTCGGACTTCCATCACTACTCTCCCGAAACAAATTGAACGCGCCCCGGAAGTACTTCCGGTACCTGCGCATGACAGACACCAGTATTCTTTCGGGCGCCATTTTATCCAACACGTGTTTTCGGCTCGGAAAAGATGGAACATACTGGGCGACCACGAAAAATGTTTTAGACATCGTGTCTGCAACAAGGTTTTCACGTACGGGGTTTGTAGCGAGTGGTCGGCGGAAAAATGGGCCATCTTCGACAAGATGGTGGAAAAGTCGACAGGAGGCCGACCATCAAGAGGAAAGTCCGCAACAGAAGCCCGGGGTGGAATGAGTCCCCTAAATACAGGCTTGGAAACGTCGGAGACTCGGGCGGCTGTGCGGGCCCCACGTAGGAGTCTAGACGGGATCACACCGCCGGCGAGTACGGTAGGTAATCCTTCATTGGACGACACCACTCGGGGACTCACCGAAAATTTGATTTCATCCCAGTTAACAAACTTCTTTGCCAGTAACGTTTCCTCGCAACCATTTCCAGCGGTACAACCCCAGGTAAATGGGGAGGATATGACTCGTATTCGGCCGGCGGGAAGTAGGCCGAGTCGTTTTGATAAGTTTGTTGGTGAACGGCAACAATCGAGTGTCAGGGAGGAGGACTTGGATGAGTTAGATTCAGTGTCAGATAACGATAGGGTATCTCAAGTGTCACAAAAATCGGAAGGGGTTTTTTCCTCAGCTCATATCTTATAGGGAGCTCCTGGTAGTTTAGACCCTATGAAAAGGGAATGTTCGCTTATGCATTTCCACCAACAATACTGATTCCTCATGTTCTCAGGAAAATATCTCGAGAGGATTGCGTGATACTTCTAGTAGCACCGAGATGGCCACGTCAATCTTGGTACCCTCAGCTGCTAGAGCTTCTGGCGGATTACCCAAGAGAGCTTTCACTCAACGACAGGCTGCTGACTCAGCAAAGAGGCAAGCTAGTACATCCGGATCCAGGGATGTTCCGATTCACGGTATGTAAAGTGTCAAACAGACCTATGCTTCAAGAGGGTTTTCGCAGGAGGTTGCTCAAGCGATCTCCGCTTCTCGGAGACCTTCTACACAGGCAGTCTACAATGCGCGAATCCGATGTTATAGCAGCTGGTGTGAGGAACGACAGATTGATCCCAGTTTGCCAACGGTAACTGAGATAGCGGACTTTCTTTTGTATTTACACCAGAGTAAAGGTTTTAAGATATCTACACTAGGAGGATATAGAACAGCTATAGCAGTCATTCACACTCATGGAGATTCCATTGGTACCGATAGGGACTTGTCGCGACTGCTTTAAGGTCTAATACCAGACCAGAGTGTAGGTCTATGGTACCCAATTGGAGTTTGCCGCTTGTACTACTCAGGTTGACTCGGTCACCCTTTTCGCCTATGGGGGAAGCATCCTTAAAATGGCTTACATTAAAGACATTATTTCTGTTGGTTGTGGCATCTGCTGCACGAGCAAGTGAGTTACATGCATTATCAGTGGAACAAGATCATATCCGTTGGGAGCAGGCAGGGGTTCATCTGTTACCCAACATTCAGTTCTTGACTAAAAATCAGCGGCTTGGAAAACCATGGGAGCCCTTTTTCCTTCCGAAATTTTTAAATTTTGCTACTGAGGAGGAGGATTTGAAGTTGTGTCCTTATAGAGCTTTGAAGATGTATATTAGAAGATTACAGGACATAAGGAGCGATAAAAAAAAAACAAAACAAAAAAACGTTTGTTTCTTACATATCAGGACGGAAATCAAAAAGAGGCATCAAAAGACTCCATTGCACGATGGATTGTGTCGGTGGTGAAATTTTGGTATGAGTCAGCAAATGAGGAGGGTGTTCGTCTGGCCAGGGCTCATGATACTCGCCGTCTGGCCACGTCCCGGGCACTCTTTTCTAAGGTGCCCATCTCAGAAATTGTGAAGGCAGCGCATTGGGCGAAGGAAACCACCTTCACCTCTTTCTACTTGAAAGACATTTGGAAACCGGAAGGCCAGTTTGCCAGGGCAGTCATATTGCAGTCAGTGGTGAACAGGAAAGGCAGACGGACCTATTAGGAGGTAATATTTTGTTCATAGGAAGTTAGTTGGACTGGCTCTACCCACCTCCTTTATAGGCTACAAATTCTGTGTTTGCCTAAGGTTTGACTCATGCAGGTAGGTATGGGGACTAAAGTAAACTGAGGGTTTTCTGGGTAAAACCCCTGTTTATGAAGTCACCATACCTACCTGCATGAACCCACCCTCCTTCCACACAGAGTCAGTACTAAGCTTATGGCTTTGAAAGAATACTGGTGTCTGTCATGCGCAGGTACCGGAAGCACTTCCGGGGTGCGTTCAATTTGTTTCGGGCGAGTAGTGTTGGAAGTCCGAGGGAATTGCCTAAGGTTTGAATCATGCAGGTAGGTATGGTGACTTCGTAAACATGGTTTTACCCAGAAAACCCTCAATTAAAGGAACAGACTTATATGATTTTACTCAAATGGTACTAGACATATGCTGTCTGTGGCACTTTTGTTTAAATGTTAAATTCTTATTCATAAAGTGGAAATGGTAACGAATATCTTGGCTGTAATATGTAAGGGAGATAACTCTTAATATACATTCATGCTATACTGCTTGGCTAGGGAGAACTCTCTTTAGCACAATCAGTAGAGTGTATGGTTAGTAAGTCTAAAGACCTGTTCTTGATTCGATCTCTAGTGGACATATAGAAGATTGAAGGTTTGTAATGTGTAGGGTAGCTTGCATAGGCTATTTAAGAAGGAAATATTTGAAATATTTTCATTTACAAAATTAAATTTTTATGTGTGAAACATAATTTTGTTGTCAATACCAGTTTTTCGACGTCCTTTTTTATTCCACGTTTGTCTATACCTATTTCTTGCAGTATAGATATGAACAATACAATTGCAATGGTTGTACCGGATGATCAACTGAAAGAAAAATTAAAACACACATTTTTGTTGAAAGAAGTGTTTCCAGAATATAACTTGTTTGATATAAAACATTGCACGTGTTTGATGATCGTAAGTAATTCTGGTTGTTCTGTTGGGAACTCGTTCTTTTCAGAGGTTTTCTCTTGTTTAGTTAGTTTGCCTAGAGAAATATAAAAAAATTATTGGAATTATTTGTACAAGTTAATATTCTATTGAAAATCATTTAGTATTTTCCCCCACTGTACATTGGATGAAAAAAAAAACTGAATTTAATTTAACTTAAAATCACTTCAGTGTAAAGTAACCCATGCCTATATATGTAGAAATAGGACCTAACAGCAATAAATACGTTGTCTGGAATCATGGACTTTTCAGCGGTGAGATGGGGATTTGATCAAATTAACTTTTTTTTTTATCATTTCCAGACATCTGTATAAAGACGGGATTTCTATTCAAAACCAACCACAGATAAAGTACTTTGATAAGATTCTAAACATTTTTCTTTGACATTATTAAAATACAAATTACAAAATTAGGAAGTGGTACAATTTGAGCATTGACATAAGCCCTACAGGTCAATGTTGAGTGATTATGTATTTTATATGTTAAAGCAATTTAAATCCCTCACGTGTATAAACAATTTTGATACAGATGTCATAATACAATATATCTGATATTATCTTACTTTACATGTATCTTGACGTTTTAAAGATAAGATACAAAAATGATAAGCGAAACCAATGTTGTCATTTTTAAAATTAATTCATGACATATTGATAAGTAACTATTTTGATGGAATAGAGCAGATCCTGCCGTGTCTATTTTTGACTCAAATTGAACTATATTTAAGTTGGTCTGGTACAATTCCGATGCTGACCATTCCGAAAACCAATGCTTTTGCAATTACTTTGATGTCAAATTATAAAATGACTTAACCTTAGTCTGTTGAAAAACTACCTGATTTTAGCTAAAAACTAATATTTGTAGGTGTAAATGATTCTTAGCTCTGAATTTACTTACGCATGTTTTAAATCTTATTGTTACTATTATTATTGTTATTATTCTAATTATAGTTGTTGTTGTTGTTGTAATGGTACGGATATAAAATCGATATCTAAGGAAGCAGAACACACCAACATGTTCTTTGTTTCTTAACATGTTGTCTCACTGCGCTTTGTCAGCGGCAACACAATCCCTAGAGTTACTTCCCCTCTTCCAAAACATGTAACTGAGATAAAATTTGTCAAATAAGATACTTTTTATGTAATAAAGTAATGCAATATTTACATCATATTATACAATATAATAATGATACTATTTTTATGAAAGCATTTAAGATAGTATTTCAGTTTATTTTAGTTATACACATTTTTCTCTTTCCATATGGTAATTTTTAAATACCTTGTCTGTAAAATTTTACATTCAGTTTATATATTCTCTTTTACAGTAACAACTCATACTTACCTGGTACAGGGGATACCGTGATCGACTCTGATACCAGCATGGATTTCATTGATGTTGATGTGTTGAAGAAGTCAGTTAGAATGTTTGTCACCGGTCCCAGGAAACACAGCGTCACTAGGTTTGAAATAGTGAAGTGTCTACTAGCATCAGGGCTCCCGGGTGAAGAGATAGTTTCTGTTTTCCGGTGTGAGGCTCCAAACACTTGGTTTGTTACCTTGCGGTCAGAGGTTTATGTTGATCGTGTTGTAGAGAAGGGTCCGATGAAAGAGACATACTTTTCTTTAGTCCCGGAACGGTGTGACCAACGTCGTTTGTCCATCCGTGTGCAATGGCTGCCATCCTGGATATCCGATGACGCCATTGCGGAACATTTTGACGGACATTATGGAAAAGTAGTCCATGTTTCCAGAGAAACCACGACCATTGGAGAAGTAAGACTGGAGACCGGAACCCGTGTCCTTACCCTTGTTATTAGGGAAGGCGATCAGGATTTGATCCCATACAGAAGTAGAATGTTCGGGAAGGTGGCCTTGATTATTGTTCCTGGGCGTCCTCCTATCTGTCTTCGCTGCCAGCAAGTTGGACACGTTCGTTCGCAGTGTCCAGGACGACCTGAACAGACAACACGTATATCCTATGCTGCCAAAGTCTCCCAGTCCACCGCTGCTGTACCGGAGATGACCTTGCCGAGTGCTGCCGCAGATTCCCCTCCAGCACCGGAGGAGGTCGTGTCAACGGAACCTTCGCAACGGCCAACGCAGGATACTGCGAGCCCCTCGTCCGGAGGGAGCAGTGTTAACAACGCCCAATCCACCAAGAGGTCAGGTCCTGAAGTTGACGAGGAGGGATTCCAGAAGGCTTCAAAGAAGGGCAGGCATTCCGCTTTCTCCCCTATGGTTCTGTCCAATGGTGACTTAGTCCCGGGACACAAGCTTCCAGAATCTACAATGGATTATCTCGAGGACAACCAGTCAGAAGAGAGCGAGGGTGAACTGGTAATCGACGAGGGTCACCCTGGTTCGTGAGTGTTTCGTTTTGTCTTTGATTAACAGACTTAAATATTCCAATCGACAATGGCGGCGACAATGCGATTCCTGATTGACCCTAGCATATCCCTGGACTATGTTCTAACCTATATGGTGTTTACAGTAAATATAATTTTTCTTTGTTCTCCTTTTTTATGTTCTATTTTTGTTCATTTCTTTATTCGGCTAGATAATGATTTTTATCTCGATAGATCTACCCACGAAACATGTTTAAAGTCTTTTTTCGTAATAAGCGTGCATGTTATTGCCCTTTCATGTATGAATACCACAATACAGTACCGATTTACCTTGGTCGAATATGTTACGTATTGTCAGCTTTTTCTACACTTAAACTTTCACCTGTGCTATGTTTTCTTTACTTTACAACTTCACGTGTTTTCTCGATTTCATGCCTTGTTAGCTTGTACTCATAGGTTAGTATTTTTGCTTCTACTTACCTTAGCCCTTTCAATAAACAAATATTTCCTCCTTATTAGCAATGGTATAATTTTTTGTAGAAACAATACCTTGATTTGTAATATAAAGTTTGCTGTTAATGTATATTTCCTATATCATATTTTATTTATTCTGTATATTAGCACGCGTGTCTCCGGACAATTGACTGCGCAGGTAAGATGTACCTGTTTATTCTTGTTAGCTTTATACATGATATCTTGTTGGTTTTTGCTGAAGACATATTCTGGTATTTGCTGTGTGCGCCATACTTGCCATGTTCCGCATTTTAGTTTTACATTATCGTTTATTTCTATCCGTTTTCTTTTACAATTTCTATTTGTGATAGTAGTATTCGCTAATCATAAGTTATTTGTTGTTAAGCTGACTGCTCGTGAGCGCGCACGGCTCCGGGGCGCGTGCACTGAGTGTCTCTCCTTTATACATTGTATCTCACCTGTGTTCCGCTTCAGTGGCCTCGTGTGTTTCATAATTATTGTTGGAATCGTTTGTTTACATGGACGGTTTTTTTTCCAAAAAATATTGCGCGTTACCATCCGCTTACTTACCTTTAGCTATCGTTCTTCTTTTGTTTCCTTTTATTATGTCGGCTCCCCCGTTTTTTTTTCCTGAAAAATAATAAAAATGGAAATGATTAATTCAAATAACACATTAAATATAATTACATGGAATTGTAATGGTTTCTTATCCAAGACTAAGCAGTATGAACTTAGTGATTTTGTTCACAACCATAATGTTCATATAGTACTTCTACAGGAAACCCACGTCTCTAATCTGTCTGTTGGTGTTAGGATTGAGCGTTTTTTAAAGTGTAAGGCAATCTGGAATTTTGGTACTTTTAACAGTAGAGGTACGGCTGTATTGTTTTTTATTAATGTTGACTTACAGAAATTTCATATGGACAGAGATGGTAGGGTCATGTGCGTTGATTTTAAATATTTTAATAGTGAGTTCAGAATTATAAATGTGTACGCTCCTAATGTTGATGAGGAGCGGTGTTTGTTTTTTGGGGATATTTTACATCATTTTTCCTGTAGAAGGCCAGTCGTTTTCGCTGGTGACTTTAATTGTATTGAATGTATTTCTCTCGATAAAATTGGCGGTAATCCAAAACGTGGTCTACCTGGTAGTAAATTATTACAAAATATTTGTCATGATTTTAAGTTGTTTGAAACATTTCGATCACTTTTCCCTAATGTCGTTTCCACTACGTGGCATGGTAATGGTATATCTTGCCGTTTAGACCGTTTTTATATTTCTTGCATTTTAAAAGAGTATTTACTAGAAAACAAGGTTTTTCCGTCTGGTAGTTCGGACCATGATTTTGTCTGTTTGAAAATCAAATTGTTTTCAGAATCTAAGTTTGGTCCATCATATTGGAAACTGAACAATAGTATTTTAAATGACAGAAGTTTTCAGATTGCTTTTAAAACTTTTTGGCTTGACTTAACCAAAGACGAGCCTGTTTCTTTGGAAAATTGGGATGACTGTAAGTCGGTGATTAAGTTTTTTATCATTGGGTATTGTAAACGTAAGGCTAGAGTCAAACGATCCGTTGTCAAATCCTTACAAGATAAATACAATAGGTTGTCTAGGTTAGAAAGGCAGTCACCTGGGGACTTTATTGATCAGATTCAGTTTATTAAGAAACAGTTATTAGATTTTCACTCTGATAATTTTAAGGGGTCTATGATTAGATCTAGAGCTAATTTTTTAGATTTTTCGGAAAAACCTTCACGATATTTTTTCAAAATGGAAGGTGACAAGGGTAGAAAGAAGTTTATTGAGAAGATCGATCTACCTGATTCTTCCTCTGTTTCAGATTCTAGTGACATTTTAGCTGCCTTTCGTGATTTTTATATAAACCTTTTTACAGAGGAAGCCATCGATTTTGAGTTGTCTGATTCCTTTTGTGAGAATCTTCCCAAACTGAACAAACTTGATATGTCAATATGTGAAGGTCCTATTGGGAAGGAGGAAATTTTAGTCGCTCTTAAGCACATGCATAATAATAAATCCCCTGGTAGTGATGGTCTCACTAAAGAGTTTTATTTTACTTTCTTTAATTTGTTAGGAGATCAGCTCGTCTCATTATATAATGAAATTTTTCAGAGGGGTGAGCTCAGTGACACCCAGAAAATGTCCTATATTTCTTTATTATGTAAAGACCCATGTAATTCTTCTGATATGAAAAACTGGAGGCCAATATCTCTCCTAAACATTGACTATAAAATTTTATCTAAAGTGATAACAAACAGACTAAGTAAAGTTATTGATCAAATTGTTGGCATTGACCAGACTTGTGCTATAAAGCAAAGATCTATTTTTGAAAATTGTCATTTATTACGTAATATCGTTGATTATGTCGATCAAAAAGACCTTAAGTGTGCCTTTATTTCTCTAGATCAGGAGAAAGCCTTTGATAGAGTTAATTATGATTTTTTATTTAAAGTGCTTCGTGCTTTCAATTTTGGTCCTGATTTTATTAAATGGGTCAGACTTTTATATAAAAATGTCCGTTCGTCCGTTATTGTTAATGGGTTTATTTCTGACTCCTTTCCCATCACTCGTGGCGTAAGGCAAGGTTGTAGTTTATCTCCCTTATTGTACGTTTTGGTTTTAGAACCCTTTGCGAAAAAGGTCCGCGAAGATCCTGAAATAATTGGTGTTAAATTACCGGGTTCCTCTAAGTCGGCGAAAATTTCCCTTTACGCAGACGACAGTACTGGTATTTGCTGCACTGATTCATCCATTTCAAAATTGTTCTATTGGTGTGATTTGTACGGCAGGGCGTCAGGGGCTAAATTAAATAAGCAGAAAACTAAGGGTATTTGGCTGGGGAAATGGAAATCACGTTCAGATCATCCTTTTGGTATAAGTTGGGTTGAAAAACATAGAATTTGTGGGATTTTATTCGGTAATAATATCTCCCCTGATGATATTTGGCAGCCGGTTTTTCGGAAATTCTCAAGGACCTTAGATTTATGGAAAATGAGAAACTTATCTTTAACACAAAAATCGATAGTAATAAAGGTCCTTGCGTGCAGCAAACTCTGGTATATTGGTACTGTCGTCATAATGCCAAGGCATTATTTGGAACTATTTCAGAGAACTTTATTTAGATTTTTATGGAATTCTAAGTCAGAGCCACTTGCGCGCTCAACAGCCTATGCCTCTCCTTCTAGTGGTGGACTTGCTATTGTAAACATTAAAGCTAAACTCCAAGCTATTTACTTGAAGCATTGTCAGGATTTTGTTTTTAAAAATACAGAGGCCAAATGGAGATACTTTACCATGTATTGGCTCTCTCTACACTTTCGAGAGCATTTCAACAGTTTTGATAATAATTTTCCACATAGTGGCTGGTGCCCTACCTTTTATTCGAGTATTTATAAAGTATTTAAACAATACAGAAAGGATTTTCCGAAGTCCACTTTTGAGTCAGTCACAACTAAGGAATTCTATGTAACTCTGTTATCTGTTGTCATTAAGTCACCCCGCATTGTCAAGATTTTCCCAACTGTAGATTTCGATCCTGTTTTTCGCAATATTTCTAACAAGTTTTTAGATACTCGCTCAAGAGATGTTGTATTTAAAATGGTACACGAGATTTTACCTGTTAACTTTCGAATGTACAAATTTGGTGTCGGGTCCTCTAAACATTGTACATTTTGTGATGGTTTTGAGACTATTTCACATCTATTTTATGAATGTCCATTTGTTCAACCATTAGTATCCTTGGTTAATTCCTGGATAAACCAGGTCTCAGAGAACAAAGTCCCTACTGATTCGGCTCTTTGGCGATTCCATTCCCCAGTAAGTCTTACTCTAAAATTAAAGTCTCTTGTTTTATTTCTAGTGGCAGAATCTTTATCATCTATCTGGTATATTCGTTGTGTTAAAAAATATGACAGAAAGTCACCAACTTCTGATTCTCTTCTCTGCCACTTCCTCAGTAACGTCATTCTACGCATTCAGTCTGATTATACCCGTCTCCCCGCCAACATCTTCTCTGAATACTGGAGTACTACTGGTATTTTTTGTACAACCCAAGAGGACGAACTGAAATTAAATCTTAGTTTGGGCTGATATCTCCTGTTGTCGCCCTGTAATTTGTATCTTAATCATTTTCCATTATTTTTCTATGTAAATTCATTAGATCAATTTTCGAATTGACGTTTTCCTAGAAATGTCAGTATTATTCTTATACTTACCTTGCTATACTTCGTTAACAAGTAATTTCTATGTCCATCCAGGTTGTAGGGATAATTGCACCTTACCGGGGATACCGGATGTCCATATAATACAGTTGCCATAGGGGTGTGTCTCTTGGCGGTTTTATCTGTACATTTGTAAATAAACTTTTTATCAAAAAAAAAAAAAAAAAAAAAAAAAAAGGTTCCCCCAGGTCGAGGCCCTTCCATTGCACTCCGGTCGGGCTGAACCCTGCGATAATCCCAAATGCGGATTACTCGGGTACGCTATTTTTTAGTGTGGGGGTCTGCGTTCGCGCTAACCCTCGACCA